ATTCTAAAAAAGGAACTTACATTTTGTAAGAATTATGACACATGGATTTTTTACTAAACAGCCAACATTATATTAAGTTAATATATATTTTAGAGGGAGATTTTGTTGCATTAAGTAATAAATCTTGCACAGTTTTTGACAATTATTGTAAAAGGTTTACAAAAGTTAAATATTTATAAAAGCAATAACTAAGCCTGAAGAAAGAATGTTCGTTCTGTAATATTTTTTCATTTGCACCAAAATTCATTGCAGATGGGGATAGTTTAAATGCATTACTGTATGTAATATGATTCTTCACTTTGTTTCTCTCTCTAAATCATTCGTTATTAGGAAGTACAGTTCCATCAATAATCCAAACTCATGGACCATCGTCTGTAAAAACTTATACTGAAGCATTAGAAGACGGCATTGTTGAGGTGAACCTTGGAACGATTAAGGTGATAGGACAAGAAAGAGCGGGTAAAACCTGCCTCATAAATTCCTGCCTTGGTAAAAAGTAAGCAAATATATAATTATTAAGTATAATAAATGAAAATGGAAAAAAATAGCAATAATCATGTTCTATATCCATTAGAAAGTATCACTGTGACCTAAAATAATAATAATGGCGTTGGCGATAACGATGATGATAACAAGAGCTCTCAATAATGGTCACATATTCACCCGGCACTACAGCAACTCCTTTTCTATAACATAAATCTCCAAAAAATATGTTCCAAAGAGATAAAAAGTAATAGAAAATAAGATTAATAGTAAAATTTGACGACAACCATGATGGATTTATATAGCTCAAATAAACAAGGTCTCTGTGTAATAGGTGAGAAGACAACAAAGAAATGGGAAAAGGCTGAGTAAATAAACAAAAAAAATACAAACAAAAAAATGCCAAGCTACCACCGAAACCAAAGCATGGAGGTCATATCGTCACCGCCAACCGGAGATCTGTGTTTGTGTACTCCAATATTATCATCATGGATCTGTTTTTGCCTTAAAGCATAGCGTTTCTGCAAATATTGTTCCAAGTATATTAGGTATTTTGCCAGAGACAGCAGATCTTCAATACTTTCTAGATCCAACTGTTGGTCCAGTTAGCTTTGCTTAATCTTGATTTCTTTCTGGTATCAGGTGCCTCTTAACCAGGACAAAATAGAAACTCAGTGCCCACGTAGGCCTAGAATGTCCTACTTTTTACTATCAAAATGATTGAATTTACCCTTACTAGGGAACCCAATGTAAGGGAAATCAGCTTTAGGGTTACGGAAGTTGAGTCTGAGAAAGAGGCAAGGGTGAAAATGTTTAACAAATATACAAATTAGTATGGAAAGAATAAAATAATATAAACAGAATATATTTATAAGTTTAAGACTTATTGATAAGCCTGTTTTTTTTTTGTTTTTGCTTAAAATTATGAATCAGTGTTTAATCTTTGACATTACATGATGTAATGATGAATAAAGAATATGTCTTCAGCAAATAAAAATATTCTGAGAATCTACAAGAAATCAACATTTATCAATCACATACTGCAGATTTAACCAAGATGAAGAAATTACAGATGGAATAGCAACCACTAAGATTATAACCAGGACAACCAATAAAACTGACGTATGGAGTGAAAATCTTACTAACGTTGGTAAGAAAACAAATCACAATAAGTAAATACTTATTTCCAATAATGTTCAATAAACATAATTATGATTATCGGTGTTGCCAATAAAATTCCTATTATAATTATAAAAATCGTAGTCATTAGTACTATAAATTAAAAAATATCAATAAAATTTAAAGTAGGAATAATATAAATTGTAAAAATAAAAATAATATTATTATTACAATTGTTGAGGTTATTCTTTTTAGAATTTTAAAATAATACAAATTAAAATTTATGATTTTTTTTTAGAGCTGATACCAGAACAATTAAAATAATAAATGTTTTAGTTGAATTATTATTATTTAACTGTGATGTGCTTGATGGTGTGTTCTGAGATTTATTTCAAAGACAATATATCTTAATTTTTAATGAAGTAAAACAAAATAATTAAAAAGTTTAGTGATATTAAATAAATGGGAAAGAACATAACCAAAATGCCTTCTCAATAGGTAATGCTACTGAAAGCTATGAGAGGTCAATGGCAGAGACAGTTTTTATGAAAACAGTAGACAACTATGGCTCTGTTGGAGAAATGTTTTTTGATTATAGTAAATCTATTAAAGAAGCATCATCAGAAAAAGGAAAAACTATACATGAGACACCAAATGAAAACGTGAGTATGGCTATAATATATTATCGATACTGCTGTTTCTATATACAAACATTACGTTAGACCATGGAGGTGTTATTGAGAAGGAGATCACTCGGCAACAGATCCCTTATATTGATATATTTTATTGTTGAGCACTTCTCAAAACCAAGCAGAGTTGTGTTTTATATGTATGTAAATGTAGCAATTGTGCAATATACCAAATTGATTTGTCATATCTTTGAATTAAGATTTACTTATTAGACACTTCTTATGCTCAGTACCCCAGAAATAAAGCTTGCCTACAGTGGGTTACCTTTTTCACAACAATGTATTTTCATTTAAAATTTATAATTTATTGTGTTTATATATATATATATATGTGTGTGTGTATGTGTGTGTGTGTATGTGTATATATGCATATCTACACTTTTGCTTTATGCCTTTTATTACTATATATATATATATATATGTACAGTATGTATGTATGTATGTATGTATGTGTGTGTGTGTGTGTGTGTGTGTGCGCGTGCGTGCGTGCGTGCGTGCATGTGTGTGAAATAAATAGATACTTGTACTACTTGAAATAAACAATGAAAAATAACTAGGCATATGTTACAAATACACCATGTTACATTTTATTCCATTTTGTATGTTTCGTTTTTGTAGCTGCAGGTTACCAGTGTAATCACAAACACAGGTAGGTATTAATACATCCTGGCATTGTGAAAATTTCACTTTAATAACCATAGGCCTAGGTTGTTTATGGTGAACTCTACTACATTTTCTTAATAGGGCTGTTCCTTATATAACAGCCGACTATTATAATGACACTGTCTAGAACATTTGTTTAAGTGGTGGTTTAGTATATTTTTCAGTAGTAACTTTGAATTTGCTGGTTTTATTGTCTTATCGGTCAATATTACTGTCTTTCAAATATAAAAACACAATCGTCTCTTGGTATCACTAAAACTGCAAAGAAACAAATATAAAGTGGAATTGATAAACTTGAAGGTTCATGAACCTGTAGAACGTTTGTAACAGTGACACTTAGCAGTGTGTAAATAAGGTATTAAAGTAATCTCGGGTAACTGTTTCTGTAATCTAATGTCTACATATATACATATATATAAATCACAACAGGCTTACTTTTTAAGCCAATTCATTGACAGATTTACAACTGAATGAAGGACCACCAAAAACCGAATCTTTGCCATTGTCAATTCGTGAAAAGATTGTCGAATGTGTTGGTGAAGGAATGTATTACAAAAAAGAATTGGTAAAATGGCATAGGATCAGCAAGGACACATTTAACATCTGGGATTATGGGGGCCAGGTAATCTACCATGGAATTCATCGGGTAAGTCTTCTTTAAACCATTCATTTGTTGCGATTATAAGAATACCGATTGCGGTACGTGCTCATAAGTAAATGAGCAAGCACACTAACTCACTCTTTTGATCAATTGCCTACACTTATATATAGTTATTTTTTATATTGAGAATTGAAGGCTAATAAACTTGTGTGAACTTTAAGTGATACATACCACAGATGCTCAGTGACATTACCATAGTTTCATTTGAATGCAATGCCATAGCATATACCATTATTTTAAATAGATCTTCATGACATCAATGGCAGTTTACATCGTCGTGTTTAACCTTAACGTCAATCTGGATGACAAGGCCGTTGTAATGGATTCATCAGGGGTAAATTTAATATTATTAAAAATATATTTCATTGACTACATGTTTTTTAAAAGGACATTATATATAACCAATTTTCCGATATCAACACGTTTATATTTTATTTATAGCACTGTTTTACTATTACGTCATAGGACATATTGCTGTATAAAGTATTGTAGTGTATTTATAGACATTAACAAATATCAGTTTTAAAATGTGTTATCATTATTGTCACATTTACATTATCATTCTCATATTTATATTATTATTATCATCATTATTTAAATTATTATTATCCTCGTCATCAATATTATTTTATCTTCATTATAATTTCCATTATTTTTATACCATTATTATCATTGTTATTGTTATTTATTGTTATTGAAAATGTTTAATATAAAAAATAATTCTCAACCAATATTATACTATGAAATCATTTTTTTTATTTGTTTTCCTTTCAAGCAAAAGCGCACTCACCACCTGACAAACCTTGAGTTCATATTATATTGGATTTTGTCAGCGTACATTCACAGTCGTGAGTTAAAAGTTGACCTGAAGCTACAGATTGCATTACCAGCTATTGTCCTCGTGGGTACCCACCGAGACTCCCTTGGATCCACTGAACAGGAAAGGATAAGCAAGGTTAATACTTATTGAAAGAAAACAAGTGGTGCTTTGTAACAATAAAGTATAGGATTGGATATGAAAACCATAATGAAAGTTCCGTAATCTTTTTTTTTAACGTGTTACATTGCTATGTTTCATTATGACTTTCCCTGTTATTCTTGACATTTGCTTGGCTAAAAATCAGAAAAGGGGCCATTTTTGCTACAACGTAACGCTTTAAAAAAGTCAACGACACTTTCATTATGGCCATGAAGACCAACCCTATAGCTACGGCGCTTTTATTGTTACAGACATGGCCAGCGGAAGCGGGGGTGGGGGGGGGAAAAGTATATAATGCCTGGAGATTTTTGTATGATCGGAAATGCAAAAAAAGGAGGGAAGAAGGAGGAGAAGGATGGGAAAGAGAATGTTTATCATCAGTACCCAACCGAGTTACATTTTCTCGCAATTCACATTGGCGGATCTGGGGGAGGGGGTCATGGGTCCTGACCCCTCCCTTGGGCAACAAAAAAAGGGGAAAAAGAAAAGAATTCTAGACCTACCTTTTCAGGATCCGTGAGCTGTGTTTTGTTTTTTTGGTTTTTTTTTTTTGGTTTTTTTTTGCAATTAGAAAATTAGAATTTTGAAGTACATAAAATTCATTAAAACACACTTCAAATGTCGGGAAAGTTCATTTTCCGCCATCTAGGACTCAAAATTTTCTCGGGGGAGAACCCCCGGACCACCGGACCACCCTTTCTTTTTGGGATTTATCGATTCATGGAAAAAAGAATACGCATGCAACTACTCATTTGTTTATGTATGTATACACACATAAAATAAAAAATGAGAAAAATTTACCTGACCTTTTCCAAGAGGGGAAAACCTTGAATTTTGAAGAACTTTAAAAGTCATTAAAAGACATTTCAGAAGTCAGGAAAGCTCATCTCCCGCCATCTAGAAATCGAAATTTTTTCGGGGGAACCCGGACCCCCTTTATCTTTGGAGTTCATTGATTAATTGAATCATTTTCAAGGGTGGTGGGGAGGAACCTTGAATTTTTAAGAATTTAAAAGTCATTAAAAGACACCACAGAAGTCGGGAAAGCTCATTTCCCGCCACCTAGGAATTAAAATTTCCTCGGGGTAGAACCATAGAACCTCCCCCCCCCCCTTTTTTTTGGGGGGGATTTATCAATTCATGGAAAAACTACGTATGCAACTTATTCAATCTTTTTTTATGTATGTATACACACATAAGGCCTATTTACTGTAATAACAATGGGAAAAAATTATCTGACTGTTTTCAAGAGTGGAAAACCTTGAATTTTGAAGAACTTAATTACTTTTAAGTTCTTCAAAATTCAAATTGTTCCCCTCTTGAAATTTATTATAATTATAATAATTATTATTATAATTGATTTCCTGACTTCTGAAGTATTTTTTAATGACTTTAATTTAAAAGACACCTCAGAAGTCGGGAAAGCTCATTTTCCGCCTTCTAGGAATCAAAATTTTCCCCGGACCCCCTTGCATTTTGAGATTTATCGATTCATGGAAAAAAAATCGTATGCAACTACTCAATTTTGTGTGTATGTAAGGCCTATCTACTGTAATAACAATGGGAAAAATTACCTGACCGTGTTTAAGAGGGGAAAACCTTGAATTTTGAAGAACTTAAATTGAAGTCGATAAAAGATACTTCAGAAGTCGGGAAAGCTGATTGCCCACCATTTAGTAATTTACATTTTCCCGGGAAGAACCTTAACCTTCCTTTTCTCTTTGGGTTCATTGATTCATTATAATAATTTTCAAAGGGGAAACCTTGAATTTTGAAGAACTTAATAAAAGTAATTAAAAGACACCTCAGAAGTCGGGAAAACTTATATCCCGCGTTCTTGGAATTAAAATTTTCCCGGGGGACCCTCCTTTCTTTTTGGGATTCATCTCATGGAAAAAAAATCGTATACAACTACTCAATTTTTTAAATTTTTTTTTATGTATGTATACACACATAAGGCCTATGTACTGTAATAACAATAGGAAAAAATTACCTGACCGTTTTCAAGAGGGGAAAATCTTGAATTTTGAAGAACTTAAAAGTAATTAAGACACCTCAGAAGTCGGAACAGCTCATTTCCCGCCATCTAGGAATCAAAATTTTCCAGGGGGAGAACCCCCGGACCACCCTTTTCTTTGGAGCTTATCGATTCATGGAAAAAAGAATACATATGCAACTACTCATTTTTTTAAATGTATGTATACACATATAACAGGCCTATTTACTCTGTAATGAGAAAGTTTACCTTACCATTTTCATGAGGGGGAAAACCTTGAATTTTGAAGAACAAAGTCATTAGATACCTAGCTCAAAAGTCGAGAAAGGTCATTTCCCGCCATCTAGAAATCAAAATTTTTCCGGGGGAGGAATGTTGACCCCACCACCTAGATTTGATTCCAGATCTGCATGATTTTAGGGAGTTTTGATCAATTCCGACGAAATGCGAAATTAGAATTAAAAACACAAAAATTTTTCGCTCGCTTCGTGCGCATTTTTTAGGGTTAAAGCTTGTGCTTGCCCTCCTTTGCCTTCTAAGTTATTTAAAAACATAACAGTCCCAAACTTGAGAAAGAAAATTTAAGATAGATCGTTTTACCTAAAAGAAGGGCCTCAATGTGTAATGATGGTGAAAGAATAGGCCTATGATTGTAATAAATAAAACCACAATGAAAATGCTTATATTTAGTTTCAAACACACGTGTGGCCTGTATTAATAATAAAATAAGCCCTGTGTCGTATTGTTTTCTATATATATGGGGGGGGGGGGATCACACCAAGTCATAAATTACTAACCGGGAAAATTATTACCTTTGTCCCCCTGACCCAAGACCCCTGTTACGCGCCTGCTTATAAGTGGGGCCCCCCACTTTGAAAAACGTTCTGCCGGCCCTGACAAAGTGCTGCTTATTTACAAGCCTATGGCACTTTTGACTTTTATTTCTGGCTTCTAAAATTCGAAAAGGCAGCGTTTTAGCTAAAGCGTAATGTGTTTAAAAAGCTAGAGTCTCTATCATTATGGATGTGATGGCTGACTATACCTTTGACAATACACGGTTAAGAAAATGGATAAATTATTTTTTACTGTACTTTTTTTCTTACCAAATTATATGACCAGGTAAAGGAAGCGTTCGACAAAATAGAAAAGGCGCTGATGGGTAAACCATACGAAAAGCATGTGTACACAGAATACTTTGACATCGAAAATAATCGTTCAGAAGTAGATGGCAATATTGCTAAGCTGAAGAAAGTGCTTGATCATCTCATGACAGCATTGGACAAGCCCATTCCGTTGAAATGGATGCGCTTCCGTAGCGAAATTCATAAGTTAAAGGATACAACAGTAGTCTGTCCTTTGAAAAAGGTAAATTTTTCCAGTATTAAATATTTTGTTGTACAGTATTTGTTTTACAGTAATTACTGTTAAATATTTGTGGTCAGTAATTATCATAAAATTTAGCCTATATTAAAATATTTTTGTCTTTCTTACAATATTTTTGAAAATTATTTAGTAGTTAAGTGGAGTGATAAGAAATCCCCCCCCCCCCAAAAAAAGTGCTAAAAAATCAACACTTCCGCTTTTGTCGACGTTATAAACGATGAATGTTTAAAAAAGCACTCGTACACACTTACTGTGATATTTTCAATAAAATCAAAAGTTTCATCAGCATTTTGGAATTCTCCGAAATGGTACATCAAGAGTTAGCATAAATTAGAAATAATGTTACTGCATAAATTGACAAAGTACTGCTAAAACTGCAGCAGTGTTGAAAGTTTTGAGTTCGTTAATTAAAGAGTAATTCATCTTTTTACACCATATTCAAATGTAGAAACAAATATTTCTCATTACAACAAAACATTAATCAACTCATAGCCTCATTCAAGTATTAATTGTTACTTAAGGTGAAAGAATTGGCTGCCAAGTTTGGAATAAACGAGGAAAATCAACAAAGTGTCCTATTGAACTTCTTGTATGACCTTGGCGAAATCATATACATGCCTGACAACAAGGTTTTACAAGAGTACGTGGTATTGAATCCAATGCATTTTGTTGAAATGGTTACAACAGTCATAACTGTGAAACAACCCAACTTGGAGGTAAGAATAAACTTATCCCTTGTATTGGTTTTTTTTTTGCATGACTAATAAACCTCTCCACTCCATAGCCTTAACTGTGAAACCTTGACTTAGAAGTACTGGGATGGTGTCCGGCGAGGGTTAGGTTAATCCTTGTTAAGTGTAGGTTTCAAATTCAAAATGCTGTTAAAATTTTAGCCCCCATAGTTTGTTAAAATAATCATTTAAGTGATTTTTACCTCTATTTTGTAATCATGACCCCGAAACATTGACTCCGAAATACCGGGTTGGTGTCTGGCGGGTATAGTTTTTACCATATTATATTTAGGTCAATGTAGTTGAGCCCAACCTTAAAATTTCTTGCCCCGAAACCTTGACTCAGAAATACTGTTTTGGTGTCCGGCGAGGGATGGTTTTTTTGTAGTTAAGCCAAACCATGTAATTCCTTGCCCCGAAACCCTTGTACTCAGAAATACCGTCTGGGAATAGTTTCCACCCTAGTTTAGGGTTTATGTAAAGTGCCTAGAGGGATATGAGATGCTATACAAATACTTTATTATTATTATTATTATTAATGAGACTAGTTTATAAAGCCTCACATTATTTTCCTTTATTTAAGACCTTTCCGAATATCAGTCACCTTCTTTAAAATGGTATGAAAATCATATATTTTGTTTAGTCTGAAATAATAAAAAAAAATCATAATGTTCTTTCTATGTTATTTCAGTCAGCCCTGTATAAAGACCTCTACAGAAAACTTAACGAGGGTATATTAGAGGAGCCGTTGTTCAAGAAGCTTTTGGAAGATCGTGGTGTTGATTCTGTCTCTTATACACATCTAGATGTGTATAAGAGACAGGTATCATAGTTATTGTTATTTATTAATAATTCTGTCCATAGGGACCATATACCAGAATTTAAGTAACTTAATTAACCAATCAAAAGCAAGAAACCGGTAAAATTGACCAAACAAGACAAACAAGGTGTGACATATTATTAATGAATTAACAGCATACCTTAAAACAAAATCAGTCTTGATGAAGTATGAACACACTGTTAATATGAATAAATAAATAAACCTGATGTTAATGGCTAGTTCAACAATGCAAGTTCTTTGGATGCTTTTTATCCAGCATTTAAACATGGTTTATAGCGCCTAATAGCCAAATTTTTTTAGTTATGAATACATACTGTGGGTGAAACTGAAGAGAGCAACAATGCAGTCGGGTAGAATTTATTACAAGTTCAGCAATATTTCATGATTGGTTGCTTTTTATTATGAATATAATATCGCTTTCATTAAAATGTGTTATATATTTTTTGATAGGCAGCCAAACCAGGAAACCGTTCTTTCTTTGTCCCACTTCGACTGGCACTTGAACCATCGTCCGATGACCATAGACGGGTCAACAATTATGGTGAGCGCGCTATAAGCATATACCATGACTTCTGTGGATACCTTCCGGACGAGTTGTTTCCACAGCTGGTTACAGAGTTTATCGACAGGTTTCAAGACGAAGAAGGAAATGAACAACCAAAGCTGGCACGTGATCATGCAGAACTTTACTTCGATCAACATCATCGTGTAATAATGTCTGCAATTACTTTTGGACTAAACCGACTGCTGAGGGTAATACATGTTTTTTGTATTAATTTTGTAAAATTCTATTACACTATATTACTCCATATTTGATATTGGTAAATACTCTTATGTATTTCTAATATTGCTAGTTTTATTACGTTTATTTCCATTTGTCGTTTCTTTATTACACTTTAAGCAGATCACTTCAATGGGACAAACTAGCTCTCAATAATTGTGTTTAATGATCCATGACAGTTGACTCTCTTAGTGTTGTTGCTTTTTTTTGTACCTAATTCTAATATGTGTCTGATGTTTCTGATCTTTTAAATGTTTTCGTTTAAGCCAGTTCACTGTCAAGGAACCTGTTTTATTTTTTTGTGTTATTGACTTTATTATACGTTAAAAGACTATATAATAAATGAAATGGTTTCCCTTCAGACAACTATTCTTAGAAGGAAGCGAGATGACGGAGCACAGGAAGACCTTGAACCATTACCAGAAGCCTGTAAAACGGTATGTTGTAATTCCTCTAAAAATAATGATAGTAACCTTTTGTGTGATTATTAAGTCGCTTAGCCTAATAGTCTTATTTGGTATTTGGTTTAACCCTGTCAAACCTTCTTACAACCTACTATATTGACAGCATGATCTATGTCTCATCAAAAATGAGTTAAACAATATAACGAGTGTTTCAAAGAAGCAGGGTTTTTTTTTTAATTTTTTGTAGGTTTTGGAGTTCCTTGAGGAGTCATTCGAGGTCTCCCAACAGGGTGGCAGGAGGGGGTTTCAATTCCAACGATGTATACCTTGCAGCATTTGCAGCAAGAATTCACCAAAGAAACACATACAATGGCTGGGGAATTTTGAAAAGGAATGCCTTCCATGCAAAGACGAAGCAATGAGTGTCGTATGCTATAAACGACTATTTGCAGGTAAGATTTGAAAAATCGTTCTTGATTGTAAGGGTTGCTTATAATTCATGATGAATTGTAATTCGGCAGATGCATGACTAAAATGACATACTTTCATTATTATTTAATTTGTTAAGGAATGCGACTAATAATAATTGTAGCATAAGTACTTCTTTTTAAATCCCATTCAAACAAAGTTATTAAACTAAAATTAATTTTAAAGATATAAAAAATATAAGTATGTGATTTTTATGATTAATTAGGAATTTATTGATGGTTTTACAGGTACTGTGGATTCAGGTGAACAACTCTCAGAAGACATGTCACATACTGAAGGTATGGCATTAATATTGATATTTTGAAATATAATTACAAAATTGTAGAATTTTTAAAAATATTTCTGATATTTGTACAGGGGCGAATCCAGCATGGGCCACGGGAGCCGGTGCCACCTCCCCATGTCAATCCTGTCAAAAAATAAGAAAAGATGAAGAACAAATTGTTAAGTTAATAAAGGGCGGAAAGAGGGGGGAAAGGCATTTTACCCATAAATTCAGTGGTTGATCCAGCAATGGGTGGAAGGAGAGCTTGATATGATTGATATATATATATATGATTTCATAAATCTGGATGTTAAAATCGCCAAACGACGAAGGCCTATAATGGAGTTTTTTTTTCCATTATTACGGAATGTAGTACCCTGCTAGAAGAGCTATCCCATGCTCCATGCAATGAGAGAGAGCAGCTTAGCTCAGTCGGCTAATTTGGTGGTAGCCACTGTGTGTGCGCTGAACCGTGGAGATCTCTAGGTCCCTGGTTCAATTCCCATCGCTGCCTCTCCTTGTGTTTCAGCTGGAGGGCTGAAGTACAAGTTACAATAGCACACCGTCTTTTGGATGAGACATTTAGGCCGTTGGTCCTGTGTGCATTTATGGCCCATGTGCACGTTAAAGAACACGGTACACTCTTCGGAAAAGAGTAGGGGATTGCCTCCAGGTGTACTGCCCAATCACCACCAGAGGGACCCCACTAGAAATGAGTCTTCTTCTAGACTTTCGTGGGCTATCCTTGGTGTCTACATTAAATCCAATGCTTAGTTTACATAACACTTTCGTGCTGCGGGCCATAGCGCAACCAACCATTAGTGTCTCCTTCGGTGCCCCTACCCGTAGGGTCTCTGCTTTATAGCATCCTGAATCTATAAAGGGGTTTGCTGATTCATAACAGCATAACTTGTCTCTGATATCGGCTGTAGGACATGAGTGGGAGGGGAGGGGGGGTGAGGTGCCCATCCTGGCAGGAACCCCTACATTTGTCAATTTATTTTTTATTTTTCATTTGGATAAAATATTAAAAATTTAAGTTTGAATGAGTGCCAATACTGTGCATCTAGAGGTGACATAATCATAATTTTCTTTGCGACTCCGAGAGCATAAATATCTATAAGTAATTGATTAGACCCTTTTCGGATGCCCGTGAGGGGAGGGGTGTCAAGGGAGTGGTAGCTTAGCTCCCTTTGAGAGGAAGTCAATACTTTTTTATTTTGTGTAAATTTGTAATCAAATTTAGGTATGAGATTGCCATTTCCGGCCATCTAGAGGTGTTATAATCATAATTTTTTTTTTTTTTTGCCTGAGCCCCGATCTGTCAAAACCCATCCCTGGGCCCCCTCTATATTGAGAACCTGGATTTGCCACTGGACTACCTATTGGGCCACCCATCAGAAAATTTCTGGATCCGCCCTGTTGTAGTTTGTATCCTTTTATTGTTTATATTGGTATAATTGTTTTTGTATTGTTTACCAATGATTTCAGCGTGCAAGCTGCTTCTTTTGGTCTGTCTTGGTACTACAAAAAAAAAAAAAAAAATACATAAATAAATATTATACATTATCAAAGAATAGTTGTTGCCATAATATTTTGAATGTAGTTCATAAAAAATAACCATAATACTATCTTACTAATTTCATTGCAGGTTCTGAATTAGAGAAGTGGGATTTTAGAGGGATGCTAGTGCGTGTCTCAAAGGACATCGGTGACGATCTGAATGAATGGAAAGTAGCCCTCAGCGACCATATTTATACTGGTGCTTTAGAGAAAGCAAAAACAGCAATTGCGCTCTTTGAAGTTTTGATTGACAGGGCAATAATGAAGGATGGTGATATAAGGATCCTACTAGAGACCATTAAGATGACAGATTCACTTCATTTGAGGAAACACATTCCGAAATGTCAACCTCTTGACAATATGAAGATCACTCAGTTCTCAAAATTTAGGCAGTCTGTGATGACATTTGGAAAAGAACTTCGTGACGATGACATTAGGAAGCTTGTCTTCTATTACAGGCTTCGTCGTCAGTACAGTGATGGATGGTCACTGATAATGGACTTGCAACAAGAACTAATACTGGCGGATACCGATAAGTCGTTACATGATTTCAAAGCTAAATTAAATCCTGAGAGCATAAATAGCTATAAATAATTGATTAGACCCTTTCGGATGCTCGTGAGGGGAGTGGTGTCAAGGGAGCTTAGCTCCCTTTGAGAGAAAGTCAATACTTTTGTATTTTGTGTAAATTTATTATCAAATTTAGGTATGAGATTGCCATTTCCAGCCATCTAGAAGTGTTATAATCATAAAAAAATTTTTTTTTTGCCTCAGCCCTGATCTGTCAAAACCAATCCCTGGGCCCCCTCTAAATTGAGAACATGGATCTGCCACTGGACTACCTATTGGTCCCCCATCAGAAAATTTCTGGATCTGCCCCTGTTGTAGTTTTTATTCTTTTATTATTCATATTGGTTTAATTGTTTTTGCATTGTTTACCAAATATTTGAGTCTGCAAGCTGCTTCTTCTGGTCTTCATTTATAATACACCAAAAAAAAAATTAAAATAAATATTATATTTTATCAAAGAATAATTGTTGCCATAATATTTTGAATATAGTTCATAAAAAATAACCATAGTACTATCTTACTAATTTCATTGCAGGTTCTGAATTAGAGAAGTGGGATTTTAGAGGGATGCTAGTGCGTGTCTCAAAGGACATCGGTGACGATCTGAACAAATGGAAAGTAGCCCTCAGCAATCATATTAATACTGGTGCTTTAGAGAAAGCGGCAACAGCACTTTCACTCTTTGAAGTCTTGATTGACAGGGCAATTATGAAGGATGGTGATATAAGGATCCTACTAGAGACCATTAAGATGACAGATTCACTTCATTTGAGGAAACACATTCCGAAATGTCAACCTCTTGACAATATGAAGATCACTCAGTTCTCAAAATTTAGGCAGTCTGTGATGACATTTGGAAAAGAACTTTGTGACGATGACATTACGAACCTTGTCTTCTATTACGGGCTTCGTCGTCAGTACAGTGATGGATGGTCACTGATAATGGACTTGCAACAAGAACTAATACTGGCGGATACTGATAAGTCGTTACATGATTTCAAAGCTAAATTAAATCATATGGGGCTAGAAAGACTTAGCAATTGTCTAAACCGCTAGACTAAAAAACAACAATCATGCTTAGAAAATGCATCAAAACGTAGAACAATATCGGATATCATTTTATTGTCAAGTGCAGTCGGTTATCGAGAGTCCGGATGTCCTCTGTTGTTTCTGTTACTAATGCATACTTTGATATTGTTTGCTTTAATACAATATTCCGTATACAACTTTCCATACATACGAGTCGTTATTTATATGCAAGTTAATGAAATGATTATGTAAAATGAAAAATAAATTTACCAAGTTATAAGAATATACAGTACAAGTAAATACAAGTACAAATTACCTAGACATGCCAACCACTCCGATTTATTTTAAGCAAAACTCCACACTCCGATTTAGGGTCGAAAATGTCCACTTTTTACGCATTTTGGCCAGCTGAAATTTCCGAATAAAAATGATAATCCTATGATTTAGATAAGAAAAAGACCACTTAATTTCCTCCTGAAAACAGCGCACAACTGTATACGAAATAGTAGCCTAATTCCTGCTCTACAGTCTACTGATTTCGAAAATACCCAATTCATTGACCAAATCGCTGTCAGAGTTGCACTAGGCTACTGTATACGAACAATTAATTCGCACCGATCCACAGTCTACTGATTTTGAAAAAAACAAATTTCATTGGCCAAATTGATGTCAGAGTGGCACTGCACTCTGAACTGTATAGTTCTTCATAGTGTACTGATTTTGTAACAACAACAGACTAGTAAAGCACGATTTCAAAAATGAGTCCAATGAGAGCGATATGGAGGTAGGCCTAGGCAGTACCGAAAAACGAGTAGTAGTGTTGAGCTTCCTCCAAAAAAGAAGCTAAAACACACGCAAACATGCAAGTTAACAACGGAAAGTATCCTGTCAGTTTGAAATCAATACTACTGTAGGTGATGCCTACGGTACGCTCGTTGTGATTGGTGTGTTGTTGATTTTCTGCCTAGAGCCTAGTCTTGCACGGCAGTATTGCTGTTGTG